CAGGGGAGGATAATTCTCTTGTATTCTTCTTGAACTTGAATGTTAAGAAATAAGGTAATTACAAAGCATCTGGTTTGGATTTTTCCACTACATATGAGTTTGTTTATTGTGTTACGTTGCTCTGTATCTGAGTTTGATCCTTTTGATTTAATCAAAATGCAGGTTATGAATATCTGAAACACCTGACAAAGTATGATGTTGTGTTTTACTTTATTATGTGTAAACAAGAGTTAAATATTATTTAGAAGAAATTCACTCTTTGTAAAGGAGTGCTTAAGGGCTGACTGTGCAAATATGCTTTATGTAAAAATGTATCGCCTGAACGTGTTGGGAATAGCTGTGTGTGTAAACAATTATTTGTATGTTTACAAATAATTTGCAGGACCACACTGTTTAGGATATAACAAAATTTATTAAATATACAAATATATATATATAACAAAATGTATTAAATACATACTTTTTATTTATGTAGATATATTAAGTTGTAACCGGCATTTTGTAGAAATATTTTTTATGTTATAAAAATTCTAAATATGGTAACAATGCCTGGAAGCCAGCGTATTGATTGGGAGCTTCATTGTACCTCTGGGTACAAGACTGACATCCTTTTTTTCCTGGAAAGTGTGGAAGTGCCAAGGCATTAATTTTTTTCCCTCCTCTTAAAATACTCGGCTGAAGATCTCTCAATTTAGGGTGCTTTCTGAAAGCTTTCTCAAAGAAAATTAAAATATTAATGGTTATTTTATGATATTTTTATGGGAGAAGTAAGCTAAGAATAAATCAATGTGTATACTAAGAACAACGTTTACAAGGGTCTGGGTCTTTAGCACTTTTCCAATTGAGCATTGTTTTTATAAGTATGTGTTCTTAGGGAGTCCCAAACTGCCAACCATTGTCTTTGATTAAAAAAAAAAATACCATTTACAATAGTAATTTACAGTAGTGTCTCTGCCTCTAGACAGAGAGGTCGTATATCCCTTTTTTTTTTGACTCTTAAGATTCATTGCCTGGTCTCAGCTGAGCCCTGCCTAAGGAAGAGCTTTGGCATAAAGAACTGGAATAGATTAAAATCAACCTTGTCCTGAAGCTAGTTACAAAGAGAACTGCATTTTTCAGAAAAGCAAAATAATATCAGATAGATCCATGTTTTAAAAATTTAGCCTTGAGACAGCCTGCTCTGGGAGTCTCAGTTTAGGTTTCATGAAATTCTTCATTTTGGGATCTGATGGTAACGTACGTACTTCCTGGCACAAGATAGCGTGCTGTAATTATAAAAAAAATAAATGAAAATATTAATGGCATCTTGTAAAATGATATTATTTTATTGGTTGATGCTAATACAGCATTTCACAGTGTTTTCTTCTAAACGCACAGGGGAGAAGGGGAATTGAGAGGAAAAACTTGAGAAGAAAGTTAGAGACAAGAGTTGTATGGATAAGTTTGGGGTTGTGACACTATACGGAATTGTGGCTTTCTGCCTTATTTCTCTGTCCTTTTTAAAATACACGATTGGACCACTTCTGTGATTGTGTGGGTATATAATGTGGTGTACTAAAGAAAGGAGCCACAGTTAATCACTGTACTATGTTTTTTGCTGTCTCAGATAATGAGATTTGCCTGCCTGTGTAGTGTGTGAAACTAAATCATTTGCACTGCTGAAATCTGTGAGCAAAAATGTCCAGTTGTCGGCGAATTGTAGCCATTATCTGTTGTTAATTGTTGCAGCATTAGCAGTAAGAGGTTTTCCTACTGTCACTGCATTCCTTTAAGACCCAAAAGGATATATATATATAAAAAAATAAATCTGTGATTGCATCGTTGATGCAACGCTGTCCTTTGTCTGCACTGAGGGCTTAGAACGTATACTTAAGCAATGGTTGGATGCCAGCTGCATAAACCGAGGTGAAGCTTTTGCATCTGTATTGCAGCGTGCCGTCATCTGTCTCTGTTTTTGGTGGAAGTTTGAGGTATTCCTAGTACTAAGTGCACAGAGGCTGCCACCTCCTAACTTTGGTAATTTTTATACTCCTGTTAGCTTCTGAGAAAATACTCTTTTTAGTGATAATTTGCTTTCCTTGTAGAAATTTTAAGTTGAAACTGTAGACTTTGTATTAAATTTTCTATGTAGCACAATATGTAATCTACTTCTAGTTTGCTGTCTAATTATATAATCTGATGAAAATAAACTAAATTGCTTATTAAGAAGGAAGAAAAGCCTAGCGCATTCTTCCTGTAATCTCAGATTTGTATAATTTAAGATTTTTTTTTTGTATTCATTTACATTAAAAAAGAAGGATTTATCTGGGTGTAAAGACTGTGGTCAGGAAATTGTAGAGTGTTGCATTAGTTCTGGAATTGCTATATTAAATCAGCCACTTCTGGTCTAGAGCTGTGTCTTGTTTTGTAATAGCAAGTATTCATTAGCTGCCTTAGAGGCTGTGACAATAATTCAGGAGTGACAGAGCATTGCATTATGTTTCTGAGGTTGCTTTGTAATTCTTAGAGTGGTGAAAAAATTTGGTTTTGAGTTTGTACTTCCCTTTTCATCTCTGCACCGCCCAGTTCCAGGTAGTTCTGACTTGAGCTCTTATTCTGTAGTCGCTTCCGACGACTCCTAACACTCTGTTTTGTGTGTGATACTGTCGCTGATTTCCGAATCTAGGATACGAGAGGGCAGGAAAGTACAAGATTTTAGTCCTGTGCAACAGAGGTGTTCTCAGCTGGAGATTTCTCACCTGTGAAAGCCTGACTCTGGGTGCTCCTGCAGCTGATTCTACGGAGTCACTTCATCTGGACTGAGAACCTGTGGAAAAGCCCTTGGGGTTGCAGGAAATTGCAAAATAATTCAGAATCCCCACACGTTAATTCTCTGTAGCAATGCAGATGGCATGGAGGAATGCTAGTTTGCCCTTCTCTCTTGTATGTTATGGAAACACTCTGTCCAAGAGATGTCCTCATCTAGTTGGAGATATCCCTGTTCCTTGCAGGGGGGTTGGACTAGATGACCTTTGAAGGTCCCTTCCAGCCCTAACGATTCTATGATTCTATGTTACGTGGTTGCTCTTTCTCAGAAAGCAGGCTTGTGTAGCTGTAGCTTGTGAAGGAGATTCAGCTTCTTCAAGACAGGTGTGATACCAGAAATGGACATCTTGGTGAAATTGAGTTTAGGAAGAAGCTCAACATTTCCTCTCCATGTGTGAAAATTCTTGGATGTCATTGGAATTGCGTTTTTAATGAATGCGAGAATCTCAGAAGTAAAACACTGAGTAGAACTGGCGTGGCTGTGTGGCAAGGCTGGAGGAACTGGTGTAGTTTTAAAAGATAAGTCGAGGAACAGGAGCCCCTAAGCATTAAAGGGAGTCGGTGCCAAAGCAACAAAGCAATTCTTAAAAACAAAGGCAAAGAAAATGAAGCTAAAGATGTGACAGTGAAGGATAACGGGGAGTTTACAAAGAGTCGGTGGGTCTGTTCTATCGGAAGCTTTACAGGATCAGTTTTCTATTAGCGGGATATTGCAGACAGCTGCATAGGACCAGCTTTTCCCTGGCAGCAGAAGTGAGCCAGCACAGAAGGGACAGTGTTGGAAGATGAGATTTCTAGAATAACCTGACATTTTGAAGTAAAATGTCAACCAGTGTGGGTAATGCAGTCCTAGTGCTGGAATGGGAAGTAGAAGTGTCAGCAGAGAAGTCTGTTGAGCGCCGTCGTTTCCACAGCATGGCAATGGAGACGTTGGAATGTGTTGGCCTTGCTCGTGCTTAGCTGTTGCCTGTCGTACTGGGTAGTTCTGCGCTGTGCGTGCAAATCTAACTGGGGGCTGATTAAATTTTCTGCCCGGCCTTTTGTCAGTCTTTTTTGATGATGTAGAGGGGTTCATAGTCACTGGGAGAGAAGCCCTGCTTCGGCGCTTTTGTTCTCGTAAATTTAGTGAAGTATGCCACTTTTCCAAAACTTGCCTATCGTCAAACATAATGTTCCATTACATTTACACATTGGAATTTGTTTTGGCATATCCAATAGATAAAAAATTGTGAACGAATCTGAAAAATTGATACTCCCAGTACAATTCTCCACTTTCTCCAATGCAGCTCCAAGCATCCATCATCACCAGTCTTGGTAATTAGTTAAAGAGTGTACGCAGAGGGGGGTAGGGCAGAGGTGTGTCCTTTGTGTGTGGCACTGGCGTGTGTTATTGTGGTCAGGCACGTGGCTGGCAGTAGCATGTGTGCACTGCTGGTGTCTGACCTGTGTTTCTCGCTTCTGCAGACAGCTGCAGGTTGTTTAGGGCAACCTTAACTTGCTTCTTGAGAAAAGCTTCTGCTTCTAGATAACAAGTGACCTGTAAGTAGGTTCGTTTGCTTACTAACACACGTTCTGTTGTTGTGTCACTGTGGCTGGATGCTGCTCCTGGTGTTGCAGGTGAGGTGTTTGCTGTCAGTCAGTGGAGTGTTACCCTGTGGAGATAGTCTCAACACTGCAAAATACTCTGATGTGCAGCTTGCAGTGGGGAAATTGAAGGTTTAGGCACTTGTTGTGCTTAGTGCTCCTAGAAGTAAAGTAGTATTGAAGTCTGTACCTCTGCACGCTGAAGGTAGCCAGAAAGCACTTTCCAGTTAAATTCTATGGAATGTGAACAGAACTCTTCTAGGCCAGGCAGTAACCAAAGACTTAGTAAAAAAACCTTGTAAGTCCTGACCAAGAATTACTGACTTGTTTGGTTTCACTCGCGTGTTTAATTCTTTTGATTACTATGGTACTGCTTATGGATGGAAATATTTTCAGGATTTTAGGTCAAAAAAGTACAAAACCAAAAGAATAAAGCAGAGTGAATTGTTTGAAGTACTGCATGCTTTTTTCTTGACCTTTTGGATAAATATTTTCTGTGACTGTCAGTGTGACATGTTAATCCAGTAAAGCCAATGAACATGATAACACTCTTCAACATAAATTTTGATTTTGCTTTCATTGCAGTTATTTGTGAATGAACTTAGCTGAATATGGATCCAGGTGGTGGAAGTCTTGGATTGCAAACTCAAGAATCCAAAATGCCTCACACCATGATAATGCAGGATTTTGGTAAACGTTTTAACTATTAAAAATAATGAAATCAAGACTGTTTTTCAAGTTTTTGCTATATGTTTATAAGTGATGTTGAGATGTAGTGTTGACTAATAGAACAATGCTATTTGCATGACTTTTTGGAGAAAATTCAAAATTTAGGGTGGTGTATAATATGCCTTTGTATACTTGAAATAGTCACTTGTTCCAAAATATTAAAGTAATTCTGGAAAAAAAAAAGTCGTCTGTGGCCCAAAGTGCTCTAGAGACAGAAAATGTTATCTGGAGTTGAGCAGTTTTGTGGTGCATGTGCTTCTGCTTGAAATCACATTGACTAGTTGTTACATCTCCAACATACAGGAGGTGTAAATAACGTCCAGTAGAGGATGTAAACAACGTTTGAGCTTTTGTGTGCTTACCTTGATTACTGTCTCCAGGTCTCCTTTGGGGTATTTCAGTAGATGTTCTCACACAAAGACATCATTTCCCACCACAAATAACTCATTACATAGACGACAATTTAAAGATTTAGTTGAATCTGCATGTTCACATGTGCTTAGAAGTCTTCTGTCAAGAGCATCAGTGCTGGAACTGTACTGATGTAACAAAACTTGTTTCTAAATTGATTTTTTTTTTTTTTTTTGGGTAAATGAATACTGTTTCTTTTGGTGGCAGTGCTAAATAACCTCTGCAATTTTGAAGGTTTAGAGAAAGGACAGCAAGAATCTCCACTCTTCTTTGTGGGTCTCCATTTCTGCATTATGACAGGAGGTGACCTTCTCAAGTATTGGGGAGGACCATGTCTTTGTTCTGCATGAATTAATATCCCTCAGAGCATACCAAAATAACTGCATTTGCAGTACAATGCTGAATAATTTTAAAATTGTAATTTTTTTTTTTTTTCATTCTGATAAGAACCATTTTCTTGATGGTTTTATTCGTTAAGATTAAAACTGCCATTTATTTGTGTGTTAAAATAATTTACGGTGCATTCTTTTTTATGTATAGAAAAATAGTCTGCAAAAATGACTGGCCGGACAAGTCTGTTAATGAAAAACAGGTTTCTGCTTCTAGCCATTCCTTGCAGCGTGGCAAGTTGTTGGAAATTGTACTATAAATGTTGCATATAACTGAGTATTTTTTTTTATCAAGGCCCATGCAGTGTAAAGGATGAGAGTCCTTTTACTGTAACAGCAATTAATGTATTTGTGCCACACTTCCAGGGTCATGCAAGAATTCTGTGCAGGTTCAAATCGCTGCTGTAGTCGAACGTTTTCTAACTGAAATTTAAGAAAAGATCGAACTGCAAACTGGCCTGTAGTTTTTAACATATCAGCATTATAATACCTAAATTTGAGGCAAACTCCACGTTATGTCTTAACGAAGTGGCATGTTTTATTTTTCTTAATTTAAAGAATACAGGCTGCTTTGGATAGTCTTTATTAGGTGAAATGCAAAATGTGAATTGTTGAAAAGTAACAGATTTGTAGGTCTGTGTTTAACTTATCCGTACAATTATTCCATTCCGTAGATAAACTGATTGCTAGTGCCATGATTTTAACGTTTTTCTCCTCATTTGTAATTGTTTCCTAGTGGCTGGAATGGCTGGCACTGCTCACATTGATGGAGACCATATTGTTGTATCCGTGCCCGAAGCTGTCCTAGTTTCTGATGTCGTCACTGATGATGGAATAACTCTCGATCACGGCTTAGCAGCGGAAGTTGTCCAAGGACCTGACATCATCACTGAAACTGACGTTGTAACAGAAGGTGTCATTGTTCCCGATTCTGTTTTGGAAGCTGATGTTGCTATTGAAGAAGCATTAGATACCAGTGATCATGTTTTGACTTCTGATCTAATCACAGAAACCGTTAGAGTTCCCGATCAGGTTTTTGTGGCTGACCTTGTCACGGGTCCCGACGGACATTTGGAGCACGTGGTGCAAGACTCTGTGTCAGGAGCCAACTCGCCTACAATGGTTTCAGAAGAAGTTCTTGTCACGAACTCAGATTCTGAAGCAGTCATTCAAGCAGCTGGTAATGTTCCTGGCTCCACAATGACTATAAAAACAGAAGATGATGATGATGGCAAGAGTACGTCTGAAGACTACTTAATGATATCTTGTAAGTTACACAAAGGTAGATATGAACAGGAGGTTATCTGAAGTAGAAGTGGTCTGGTGGGGAGAAGTTCCTGTAGCTGAACTCTTGCTGCATTCTGTACTGGAACTCTCAAATGATAGTCTGTTGCCCAGTTAGTTCTTGGTGTCTGGGTTTGGGTTTTCTTGATGAAAAATCCATTATCGCTGATACAGCAGGAAAGAGAATGACATTCATGCTGTTGAGTGAATGAGTGTGTACGTTTGTGTTTCTGAAACTAGATATTCCTGAAAATTGAGAAAAACACATCGGAAAGTTAAACATTCTACATGTTTTGAGTATAATACTCTTTTTTTAAACACACGGGTATGTTAGCATGTTACGTAGATTCACGTGAAAATAACATGTTGGGTTTAATCAGTAGAATCCGACAAAGAAATAGGTTTTTAAGGTATCCAACTCCCAAAGTTTTCTCTTAATCGTCCACAAAATACTGTTTATTTAGCTGTATTAAAAATTATAATAGGCATTTTATGATATGTTGTGCTGTTCTGGACTGAACTTGACATTGAGGGTTGTGTGCATGGATCGATTGGCCCTCGTAGCACTGCCCGTTCCGGTTTGCACACAGCATTCCACTCTGAGGGAGCTGGGTGGTCCCGTGGGGCTCGTTGGGTGAGAGCTACTGAGAGGACCTGTCGTGTTTCTGCAGTGGGTAAATCATACTCAGGCCACCAGTTTCTATTGTTGCACAAATTCGATAAGATGTTTGATAGTTCATGTTAGATTTTTGACTTCTCCAACTTCTCCGGAAATGTGAGTAGGTCACAACAGATCTTACTTAGTCAGAAGCAATATGTTAAAAAAAGGCAGTGCCAAGTGTGTCAAAGTGTCATCTGTTCACAGCAAGCTACATTTGTTAAAATTCCAAGACAGAGGACACGACTGATAAATGATTATCATTATTTCAATATTTCATGGCATTCATGTCCGTTACGCAAAACGTATTTTTGGTGTTTATTTTTTGTTCAGTACAGGGTGGATGGCAATGATTTTTTTATCAGTCTTTCTTTACTGTAATGCCATTTATCACTAATCGATTAGTCAAAAAAGATTTTTTGGAAAAAGAACCAAAAACCCTCAGCCTAAAAGCAAATTAGACCTACAACGGAAAAATTCCTGTGTGTTTGTAAATAAAGGAACACCGTTTGTACAGTCAGTTGTTTCACTGAAAAAATTCCTCCTTTCTGACAGAGTACTTACGATGAGTTGTATTCTGTAACTGCGGTACTTCCAACTGCACCTTTGTAAGTGTAAGTAAAGTCATCTTTGGAATTCCTTCTGAGGTAGATAAGTGTGGTGGATAATGATGATCACTGCATTTGGACTGGAGCATCTGAAACTTTTCAGCAAGTTACCCAATGACCCCAGCTGTGCCTGATACAGTTATATTTTTATCAGGTGTTCTCAAGCCTTCCGATGGCTTTTGCAATGTTTTGAAGCCAGTTTGAGACCTAATTTTCAGCAAATTAATATGTATGATCATGATATGCCTGAATAGTCACAGTTGGAAGCTACATTATTAATCTATAATTTTGTTTTAAGTAATCATTTTAGATAAACTAAGGCAGGCTTTTGCCTCTGCAAAGTTTTGAGGCTGTATTACACAGGGTATGCCAGCTTGACCCAACAAACTATCTGCTAGCGATGTTTTTTCTTAGCAAAAGTTGTTCATTTGTTGTTGTTTTGTGGTTGTTTTTTTAAAAAAAGTTTTTAAATTAGCCTTGGGTTTGTTATGTTTATGAAGATAATTTGTTGTATAGAATAGTTAAATTCCCCAGTTCATCAAGCAGTTTAAACCCCTTTTTGTTTACTTATATTTTTAAATTGTTAGATGTTCAGTAAATATTGTAGAAAGTTAATTTTATGATACTTCTTTTGGGATTTGTATATAGAGCAGTTGAACTTTTTAATAATGTAAATCACATCAAAATGATAGTTTTAAAGAATCTCAAAATACTTAGTTGTCTTCTAATGAAATTCAGCATCTAAAAAGTGGGGACTTTACATAAAACGACAGATAATGCACTTAGGGAATAGCACCAGCTGTTCTGTGGAACACATTCTGGGAACTTCTGAAATAGTACATTTCAGGATGGGAAGCTGAGATGAGTGTGGAATTTTAACTTCTCTTGCTGCTTTGTTGGGAGTTGCAGTTTAACTATAGTGAGAGGTGATTTTTCACCATTTTCAGATGACCCTCCCATGTAGATATTTTATACACTATTGATAATTACAGTTTTGTGCGAATAGTATTTGGAAAATAAGTTTGTTTGGATAAGTCTGTAAACTAGCTGTGTACGATTTTGTAATTGGACATTTTCACTAGGTTATCATCACCACTCTGCTACCTCAGTGCAGATGAATTCAGCTTTTTTTAAATCAGCCTTATAAGTAGAAGACTTAAAAATCTCTTTTTGATACGTTCGCAACGTATGGCGCAGGATATGCGTGATCCCTTGTTCCAAATCTCCAGAATACCTGTTTAAGAGACTTGTTAAAAAAGAAATTAAGACAAAGTGAATGCATATGGTGTGGTCATGGACCCAGTCCATCCATACTGAGGTGGGAAGGTCATGAGCAGTGCATCCCGTTGTGCCAGGGAGGAGTTGGCACACGTGGAGCTTAAAGCGTGCCCTTTTTTGTTTTTCAGGTTTGCGATATTCAGACCCACAGCGGATTGCCAGCTCCCGATCCGTGTGCTGGCCCTGCATGCACTATGCTGGTGACCTCATACCCACCAAAGAACAACACTGGAGCTGGCCTTTAGGGGTAAGGTACTGTTCCACCACCACCTCCTTTCTAGTGTGTTACAATACAGTGTTACGTAGTTTGCTACACATTTTAAGATTAATACTCCTATATTGTAACCTATGGGATGTAAAATAAGTATGAGGAAAATATGAAAAAACTGTAAAACCATGGGACTTATCTTGCCCTCCTGTTATCCCTCTGGGCTCCTGTGGTGGGTGTGATATCACCAGCATAGTGCATGCTGAGGCATCACATGAACTGGGAGCTGGCAATCCACGGTGAATCTGGACATCACACACCTGAAAACAGCGAAGTGAGGTAAGTTTAAAACTGGAAGTGCTGGGTTTTCCTTTAAACCTTGTTTATTCAGGAGGATTCGGCATATATTTATAAAGGTTCTCTGTTGTGTTTTTTCAGTTAATTTTAAGTGACGAGATAATAATATGTAGTGCTTCTGGTGGATGAGTCAGATCTGGAAGACACTTTCATATTCCATTGACATGAAGTAAGCATTCCTGTTCCTGAGAACTATCACTGGGAAAAGTCGTCAGATAATTTAGCACTGATGGGTTAGCAGTCTGTGATTGAAGTCATATTGCTTAGAATGTTTTCACAATCTGTTTTTTAAAAAAGTCCTGATGTTTTGGAACTTGACAAATATTACAGGTCCTGCTGTGCTGATTGTTTTCCCCTTCTCTAAATGTGTTTAAAAAATAGATTGAAATCTTACAATTTACTTCAAATAAGACAGCAATTTAAGCAATGGCATTGCCAATTCAGTGTCTTTTGTTGTTGAGGTATTTGAAACAAAAGGCAACATCTTACAGATGATGGTCTATATCAGTATCATTTCCTCAGTCCAGTTTATATTTTTCAAATTTTGTTATATTACACTTTCACTTTTCTAAAAAAGGGGTTCCAAAGGCCCTGGATACACAGGCTTCCTGATACGTTTCCATTACTTCAGCTTAAATTGTAGAGACTGAAGATCTTTGAAAAGACACAGGATGATTGATGGTGTGGGAGTAACCACTAATTCTAAAAATAATGTAAGTTTGCCCCTCAAAGACAGGGCTCCCTATTCTTTGAAGGATTTTGAGATCTGAGGGCTTTATTTGAAATGAGAAACCACAGCATGTGAGCTTACATGCTAGATTGATGTATTTTACTTTTGGCTGAAAATATTTATTCTTATAAAAATTATAAAACTGAAAAATTCCTCTTTTTTTTTTTCTTTATGTAATCTTTGTTGTATTGCAGTCGATGTCCTGGTAAGGCAACTACCTAAAATTGTGTCCTTTTTTTCTTATGTTACTTCACCAGATACATAGTGGTGTACAGTCATTGTCACTCAATATAAGTTAAATAGTTGGAAATTTTTGCCATAAAGAAAACTTCTTATTGCATATAAATGATTACTCCACTGTTCAGTAAGAAGTTGCTGCTGTTAAATAACCTTCCAGTACAGAAATATTTATTTTCTGTGTTAAACTGATAATGCATTTTTTGTAAACTTTACGAGTTTAGAAAAAGTTGGTGTTGTTTGAGTTGCAGATTTGAAAATTGCTTTGCTACCACCTACCAATTCTAAAGTTACAGTAACAGCTTACAATTAGTGATTTCTTCCACCCAGCCTTTAAGTATTCTTTCTGTGTTTGCAGCATGTCTAGTCATACAGATGGATAATCACTCCTTCCTTGTACTATTAGTTACCTCCAGACCTTCAAAGACTCATACGTGTAGTGGAAATGTTCATTGTACTAAAATTCAACGTGTATGATTTTGAAGAATATGGATAGGAAACTTTTATAAACGTTAGAAGCCATGCAGAAAAGAAAATAATCTTTAATGACTTCAAACATACTAAATGTATGGAAATACTTTTTCCAAAATAAGTGTCTTTTAGCATCTTCCCTTTTCCTGTTAGTAGAGGCTGCATAATCCTCTCTTCTGCTATCAAAATACATAATTTTCAGAGGTTCTAAAATGATGTTGAATACTTACTGGTACTTACCTACATTACATCCAGTTCTGTGCTCAGTAACTTCTGTAATCTTCTGATGCAGTCCAAGATTTGTGAAACAGAAATAAGGTTCCTCGATGTGGGGCTGAAAAACTGTGTTAGTTGGATAGGTGTTTCCACAGAATCCTGTCCGTGGGTGGGAAGAGCTTAGTTTGGGATGGCTGTGGTGGATTCCCACCCTGCTGCAGGAAAGGCATCTGCTCCTTTTCTGGCAGGTTCTGAACCACCTGGTGTGACTGCCTGGTGTGTTGAGAAAGCTCAAGGTAACTCTAGTTCACTTATGTGCCCCAGGCACAGCTCTCCACTGGGGGCAGGAGACTTGGAGGGGGATTGGGAACCACGGCACCATGCCGAGGTGACCCAGCCTTCCCGCAGCATCTGCAGGGAGTAGGTGCTGTTCTTAGTCATGAAACGCTCCTGTTGCTTTAGTAGTAATTTTAATTATTTTTTTTTTTACCTTGTATGCACGTATTTTAAAGTTGTGTATGCAAAAAATTGCTGTTTCCCCAGAATGAATTTAATTCATATTCTGTTTACATGTTGTGGGATTCCTCTGTGTTTAGAGGACGTCAGTGGGTGGGGAGCATTGCCCAGCTTTGTGGTGGCCATCTGCACAGGAGCTAATTTTGTCCACTGAGAGAAGCATGTTAGCAGTACCCGTCAGAAGGATGCTTAGTTCAGTGGCAGTTTGGGGTACAGATATGGATTTCCGTGTGAATACCCTTTTTTACCAAAATAGTGTTATTAAAAGTGTGTAATTTTTGGTGTATAAATAAGATGAGCATTTTGAATATATAGACCAAATACTCAACGTGACTAAGTTGCGTGCGTAAAGAATGAGAAGTCCGCTTCACGCAGCAGTATTTGGATTTATTTTCACTACATCATTCAATCAGCTGTATGTTATACAATAATCTTCATTTTCACTTGAAAACATATCAATTTAGGGGGAAGAAGTATTCAAATTTTTGATACACACTTCTTTCACTGGGAATATACTCAGAGTCATCACTCTTCATAAGAGTTTCAGCTACTAAATTTTAGTCACCAGTGTCGTAGAGTAGGGAAACTTTTTGGGACTCTCGGACTGTAGCAGGCAATTCTGGGTTAATTTTTAATGTGGTTTCGATAGATGTTTAATTTTACTTACCGATACGTTTTAGCTTTCTAAGTGAATAGCTTCAGGCATGACCAGTTACCACGCACTCTTTGATGAGAAG